GTGTGTGTGTCTGTGTGTGTGTCTGTGTGTGTGTCTGTGTCTGTGTGTGTGTCTGTGTGTGTGTCTGTGTGTGTGTCTGTGTGTGTGTGTGTCTGTGTGTGTGTGTCTGTGTGCGTGTGCGTCTGCGTGTGCGTGTGCGTTGCGTATGCGTGTGCGTGTGCGTGTGCGTGTGCGTGTGGGTGTGCGTGTGCGTGTGCGTGTGCGTGTGCGTGTGCGTGTGCGTGTGCGTGTGCGTGTGCGTGTGGTGTGGGTGTGGGTGTGGGTGTGGGTGTGGGTGTGGGTGTGGGTGTGGGTGTGGGTGTGGGTGTGGGTGTGGGTGTGGGTGTGGGTGTGGGTGTGGGTGTGGGTGTGGGTGTGGGTGTGGGTGTGGGTGTGGGTGTGGGGGTGTGGGTGTGTGGGTGTGTGGCTGTGGGTGTGTGTGTGTGGGTATGTGTATGTGTCTACAGGCATGCATGTACGCAGGCATGTATTGAATGCGCGTATGTGTGTATGTGCGCAAGTGTGCATGCTTGAACGTATGTTGCAGCGTGTATGCACGCCTGTCTGCAACTGTGTACTTGTACGTGCACGGTGCACGTGTACGGTGCACGTGCACGTGTACGTGTGCGTGCGCGTGCGCGTGCGCGTGGGCGTGGGCTTGTGCGTGTGCGTGGGCGCGCGCGCGCATGCGTGCGTGCGGGTGGGTGGGTGGGTGGGTGGGTGTGCGTCCATGTATCAAGTCAGCAGCGCACACCTTTTGGACTCAGCAGCTGCTGGTTGGGTAAGGTTAGTTGCTTGCATGATATGCAACCGGCACGTGTTTGCACCCTTGTGCCTACACATGTGTACGGACGCAAGCATGTGTGCGCGCAAGTGTGTGTGTGTGTATACTTTGGTAGTGGTGGAGCGTATGAAGTGTTCATCAAGGTAAATGGGGCGCGATATGAGAAGAGCCAGACAACTTTTGCGAGCCCGTGCGCTCCCTCTAGCCAGAAGACGCGGACTCATCTGCTGACGGAAGGATTGCTATACACACCACGCCCACAATATCACTGAGCACCTCCAAGCGCTTTCACTTGGGGTGCCCCCTTTCAAGAGAGGATCTTGGGGAAATACCACGTGTGCCATCGGACCCACCGGCACGCCTCTCCGTTGGCACAGCCCTGCGGCCGCCAAAACCAGGCGCAGGGCTTGCAACTTGTGGTGCCTCAGCCACGAAAATACGCCAAACCCAAGAATGGGGTAAAATCCCCATTCACTAACCCCAGTTCAATGGATATGTCTTTATGTGAGTCGAGCAGCCCCCAAAAAATTATTGCTACAACACTTTTGCAGCTTGGGAGCGCAAAGTGTGTTGTGCTCGGAATGCTTAGAAGCCGGTGTTTAGATCGCACGCTTCAGAAGAAGGGTTCGCGGTTTAGGCGTTGGTGGCCCGGATTCTGGATTTGTTTGAGCCACAGCCCAAAAACAAACACTGCAGCAACCTTAAACCCAATTCTAAGTCACTCCTAAACAATTTCAGGATCTTCGGGATCTTCGGGATCTACCTCTCGCGCACCTCTCGTGCATTGTTTGTCGCAGAAACACCCACTCAACACTCAGAGCAGGCACCAGAAACACCGATGACACCCACCAGGCGGCCAAACCACCGCTGACCACGCAGAAGATTAGAGACCACTCAAAGCATACATGCCCTCATCGGCCTGATTTGGTGACATGCAAAACCGGTCGGCCCGTTTGTCAAGCCCAGGCATCTGGGCAACTAAACAATTCCCAACCCGGAAATCAGGAATCTGCAAGAAACAAGATGCCCGGAGCCTTCAGCGGGACTCGGAAAGCGCCGTGATTTTGGGATCGGCACATCTTTGGGATCAGAAACTCCTTGAAGGTGGGACAATAAGGTGGGCTTGGGTAACTTGGGGAAAGCCCCCACGTCCCCCCCTCTGATCGTCTAATCCTTCGATGGTCGAAACTCCTAATGATTAGGTCATGACTATGGCTCCCTTAAAAAGAAATCTCATAAGGGTTGTCCCAAATATCTATCCAGTGCCTGACCGCCCCCCCTCCCCCCGTCCCCCCCCCCCCACAAACCCCAAGCAACCATTGCTTTCACCAATTGAGCAACGCAATGGCAATCAAAGATTCAAGCCGTTCAGCTGGGTCCCAGGTGTGCATTTTTTGTTTGATGGTACCCTTCTTGGAGCTGCTTTTTTTCAGAGAAACCAAAACGAGCACCGAAAACCGTGTTGGATTTCGGAAAATAGAAGCCGGGTCTCCAAAAAGAGAGAAAACCGAAAACCGAGCCGCCCCATTTGGGGGGAGAACCCGCGCCGTCGGACTTGGGTCTCCGGGCCGTGCATTTGACTTCCCAGGCTCTGCTGGGGTCGACGGGTCTCGAGCGGCTCGATGGGTGGCCAGGTCGGCGTCTGGCGAACTCCAAAGCGGGTCACGAGCCGAAATATGGCGACCCAGGAAGTGGGAAAATGAATGAGTCGGTTGGCGATCAAAGGGTCCTGTTTTTGGGGCTTGACCGAGGTTGACTTCTTTGAGGAGGAACGGAAATTGCTTTTTGCTGGTTCTGCCAACACGGTTGCACAGATTTGTGTCCCCCACTGCCCAACCACCCACTCAACAAGGGAGTAAAGCCCCTACAGGGATCAACTCATCAACTCGTGAAGCCTTCGGCTTTTTGGCAAACAGACCTGATTGGATCTCGGTATCCCCCAGTAAAAGCGAAGTTTGACCATGGCACACCGATATGTGTCGAGCATGTTCAGACATTTTCAGGCTCCATTGGTGGCCAAGAAGTCTCCGGATTTCGCCTGAGAAATCCAAGGCAAGCGCCAAAACGGGCAAGCCCACAACTCCGTGTCCCCTGACTTCAAAAGCTTCCGACTGGGAAGAGCAACTATGATGACTCCAACCCAGGCTTGGGCTACCCTCTTGTTTAAACACGACTTCTCTCCAATCAAACGCAAGGGCCTGGATCCTGGGAAAAACACTGGTTAGAACCAAACTTAATCCAGCGACATCCATTGTTCAACCGAATGTATGTCAACATCGACAAACGATGAGTCAATGCGGGCTGTGCCGTGAACGCCAACTTAGGAAAAGAATCTGCAGTAGCGTTGGACATGGATCCCCACCCCCGGTTTCAGCGAGAAACAAAGGAGCTCGGTTTCCCTGATTCCACTCAAACACCAAAACCCCAGGACAGGGACGCCTCAAAAAACACGACCTCTCCGGCTAGAGGAAAAATATCCTCGCTCAGAGGACCCAGTCATTTTGGGTGCCTTCTTCGGTGCGGCAGAGCTTGAAGATGCCTCCTGCCACGCCGGCTTGGTGGCCGCAGAAACCCCACAGGGTTGTGGGATCAAGGGGTTTATCCAACCACTTTTCTGATACAAGGGAATCCCCTCTGTATATGGGGGATTCGTCTTTTGGAGGCCCTTTTTGTTGTATAGAAGTGAGTTCCATTTCCCACAGCCCTGAAACCCAAGGTCCCGCAAATCCTACGTCCGATCCTGCGGCTTGGCCAATGATTTGGACCATTCGTGCCCTTGCGGCACCGCTTCCGCCAGTTCCGCCCTTTCTGCATTTCGCTATGGGGACTCTTAGGAGTCAAGCCATTCGCCTGCCAAGCACGAACGAACAACTTGCCGCAAGCAGCACCCCAAACTACTTGGCGTAGGCTTTGTAGGAGCTGCACGCATCTTCCTGACGCGGCAGGCGAGTATGCCTGCGCATGAACGAAGTGCGCTGATCATGGCTCGGAATTGCGCATGCCTCTGGCGCTGCGTGTGAACAGGTGTGCTTGTCACGACACAAGCGTGCGCAAGTGTGGTGGATGCGTGCACGAAGCATGTTTTTCATGCTTGAAAATGCGCGTGCCAGCATTAGCGCTGCGCCTAAGCGAGTGTACGTATCATGAAATTGCCAATCATTTTCAGAGCACGCCGCACGGGGGCATGGCTGCGCGTGACTTATCATTGCTGCAAGCTGAGGCTTGCCGTTGGCGCTGCGCTTGCGCGGGTGTGCTTATCATGCTACAAGCAAAGCAAGCACAGGTATGAATGCTTTCACGAAGTGTGCGCATAAACGAAGAGTGCTGACCCACCCAAAAATTCAGAACGCTGGCGTTTTCACTTTCACATATGGCCATTTGTGACCCGTGAATTGCCTCACCACCAGCCCTCGAATCGTCATCCATTCCCCCCATTTGGAACCGTTTGCATCCGGAAGATGTTCCAATCCTGTGCCGATTTGTTGAGAGGCTTGCCCATCAGACCAAAACGCTTGCGAGCCCCAGAAAACGGCGCCTGAAAAACGCGCAAAGCACAGCTTCAAACGCGATGCAGCGGTTCAAGAATGCCGCACGGCCAAGGGATTCGTCAAACACTCCGCGCTGGAAGCCAGAGAAGGAAAACCGTTTCCGTAACCCAGCGACCTACCTGCCTTTGGGAGAGTCCCATGTCCACGACAATGTCACGAGTTCGAAAATAAACGGTGCCCCAAGCGTGGGATTTCTGGGGTCGAGACCCCAAACGGCCCCAAGATTCTTACTGGAGCCCATGACTCATTTCAGCGGGATCTTCACTCTGCCCTGATTCATCCGGGGGATGAAATCCGGATCACCTCCGAGAAACTCCGAGGGGGTCAGCGATCGGAAGTGCTGCCTATGGCAAAAACAAACCTCCGCGAAGCCTTCGACCCACATGCTCGGCCTTCTGTAGTGCGATAGAGCTTGAAGATTCCTCCTCCTGGCTGGGGGGCAGCCAGGACTCAAGTTGCTCAAGTTCAAATTCAAGGTACACCCAACTCCAATGTCCAATCCTGTCCTCTGTGTGTGTGTGTGTGTGTCTGTGTGTGTGCAGTTTTGGGTCGAAGATCCAGTCCTAGAATCGTCAAACAACTTGCTCTTGCCAGTGCGGTCCACTTTTAAAGTTCCGCCAGGTGCGATGCGCGTCTGTGATGGAAAAGGAGCTTATGTATTTTCTTTTCTTTTTGGAAAGCACGGAAGGCTCTTCCCACGCCAGCGCTACTCTTTGAGGAAGCCTTGTTGGGCTTCGACTCCCGAGCAAAAGGAAAGTGAAGACGGGAATCCACGGATTCACATGGGCCCAGCGTTTGCTTTCAAGGTTGGATAATGTTGGATACAGAGGGCATGAATCTTGTTAGGGACCCTGACATCATTTCGGGGACTCATGTCCATCACTTTTTTGGCAAAAAAAAAACACCAAAAAAACACAAAACAAACACCAAAAACAAAACACCAAATCATAGCCAACCCTTTGGCCAGGCAGGTCCGAAGCGAGCCAATCATTCGTGGGGACTCTGTTTCTCCAAGCCCAAGTTGACCGCTCGGTGGCGAAATCTCCCCGAAAAGTCAATAACTTGCGGTATTCGGAAAACCGTCGGCAAAAAGCTAAAGTCCTAACATCCCTTGGCAAAATGCCCCAAAGGTCATGGTGTCCCTTTTGGTTTGTCCGCGAATCAAAGGTTGAGGTTGGGATCATAAGGCTCCACTTCCCTTGGACCGGGATCAGACTTGAAGCCATGAAAGGTCTATGTTTGGAATTTCCAAAGCTTCTCTTAGAGAAAGCCAACCTTTTGCCGTCGGTACCTATTTGGGGGCCATGAGGCTCTCACCGGACCCACGTTGCGATACGTCGCTCCAATTCGCGCCTGCGAAGGCCTACCACACGAGCGTGCGACCGGAGAAGGTTTGATTGGCAAAGTGTGGGCGACATATCTCTAGGGGTTGATTCCCCATTCTTTTCAACCATCGTTCTTTTCAAAAACCGGATCTGTTTCCCCTGGGTGTTTGATGTCCTGAAAAGAAAAACGGATCCCTGGAAAGAATGGAAATGGGAAGGTAGCCCTGGAATCTTCAAACCCTTCCCTCCAACGAACCTGAAGGGCACCTGGAAGATCAGTTCCTCTAACCCCCTGTGAGGTGCGTGGGAGGGAGGGTAGAGAAGTAATGGAGAGTTGTTCAAAACATAGAGAAGTACTGGAGATTGTGTTTGTTTGGCTTGTTGGTGGATTATGGTGATGCCGAAAAGAACTGGCCCCTTAAACTTCACCCCAAAAGCACACGCACCCCACAATCTGATGTTCAATAACCAAAGGGACATATAGATAAGCCTGAAGGGATGCTAGTGATCTGTGAGTGAGCTCATTAGAACTTGCCCAAATGGTGCCAAGCGGGATCCAAGAAGGAAGATCATCTTAACAGCCCAGGGAGACGCTTTCCGAACTGTTGGCATCCATTGTCTGCTTTGATTGCGCCCCTACTTGTTCCTTCTACATCTGGACAGGGGTTCGGCTTGCCAGTGTTTCTCTAATCGCTCTGTATGACCGAATCATCCGGAAACTATAGCCAAGCTAAACATAAATCAGCTTCAGTCGCCCGGAACGAGGATCGACTTGCTCAAATGCCGAAAACTCACAAACTGGCACAATTGATAGCCATGTGTCGCCATTCTTGCAGTGCTTTCTAGATAGACAACTGATTAGACAAAAAGTAGGAGTTTAGTGAACACTTTGAAAGGCGTGTACACAAAAAAAAGATACGTCCAGTCAGGCCAACTTAGAAGTGCAAACAGGCATGTGGTTAATCATGGAAGTGCCTGAAAGTGTTGGCCATTCTTTTCAGCCATCGTTCTTTTCAAAAACCGGATCCGCTTTCCCCGCGTTTTTGATGGTTTCCTGAAAAGAAGGATCCCAGGAAGAATGGAACTGGAAGGTACCACTAGAGTAATCCGTTTTTCCCCTTAACCCCAGGCCAAACACACTGTGCCGATAAAAGTCGAAGCTGTGGCAGCTCCAAACGAATGGGCCCTTGATCCCCGTCAGCAAATGCTCCAGCCCTCGAGCCAAGGACGCAAATCTTCAGGGGGAAACTCTGGAAAATTACATGTTTGCGTTTGAGACGCTGGTTGGGTAGGTTGGGTCCCAAGATTGTGTGTCAAAATCATGGCGTCAGTACAAACAATTACATGGATGAAGGGGGGGGGGGGCCTGAATTGAACATCAGGCGAGGCATACACAAGTTTAGGGTCTCCAAAGCTTGCTTGGTCCAAGGAAAGCTAAACTGACCTGGACCTGCACAATCAAGTTCCTTCGAAATCCAAATCAGTAGCGTCGACAACCACGGCAATCTCAGCGTGCCCTTCGAAATTAACCAAAACTGCAGAAACCACACACATACAACAACAATTCTGGGGAGGGGGTATACCTTTACAGATGGTAGGGGCTAAGTGCAGCACTTGTCCATGTGTGTGAAGACAAACGGCCATGCTGATGACAGCTTCCGACAAAACCTCAAGAAGATACGATCAAAAACCGCAGAACCTCATAAAAACCGAGACGCCACGATCCGCTGAGCCTGTTGCACAGTGGCAACATAAAGCCCTCCCCCCTCTTTAACCAAAAAAATGCGCGATACCACGGTGGGCCACCCCCACATGCCTTTGCCATTGTTGAAAGGGCATTCCCTGGGAGTGGCCCCCTATATCCGTTCTGCACCGAAAATTCACCCGAGTTCACGCGCCCATGGCGCCTGGTGTCCTCCTGGGCACTGACCTGACAGCGATGATCTCTCGAGCAAATGCACCCGAAGCCAAAAAATATCTGGAAGATGGTCTGGAGGGGTTCCATACTTGTTCCTTCCCTGTAAGGTGCTATCTTGGAGGGAGTGTGGGTTCGAGCGTGGGGTCCTGCTTTCCAATCAAACATGGGAGGGTTTTGAAAGATGAGGGGGCCAGTGGGCACATCTATACTCGGAGATCCCACCAGAACTGCAAGGAATCCCCGTTGACCCACATGACCAAGCTTTGGGTTGCAAAGCGTTGGCATCAGTTCAAGTTATGGCCTTAAATGGTCTCTAATAGGCGCTAATATTGCCAATTAGGCTGTGATGGCTCGCCTTGCGATGTTTCTGAATGATATTAATGATTGAGACAGACAAGAGCCCAGGCGTCTGGGCAAAGAACCTTAGGCTGGGGGTGTCGACCACCGCGGTCCATCTTCCGATCGCCGGGGAGCAAAATATGATCAGCGACTTGTAAAATATCATTCAATCACCTGTTGGATGGGATGGGTCGCAAGGCAAGCTTGACCGTCGCCTGAGAGTTGAATGAGCCTCCCAATTTCAGTGTGGGCCCATGTGTGACAACGCAACCAAGAGGCTAGCAGCGGTCAACACGCGTAAGGCTAGATGCGTGTTTGATGCACTGAGACTTCAAGTACAACAAACATGCTTGCTCTCTCAATTCAGGTGTGTATTCAACTCCCCCAAATACAATGCGCAAACCAGCCACTAACCGCGACCCTAAGCGCCCATGAAGCTGTTAGTCGATGTACTTCCGGTTTCAGTAGATGTTCAGTAGATGTGCCTCCCATGATGAGACGCATCAAGCTGCCCGATTGCCTTCTGAAACAACTCCCGACCCGTCGGAACGCCCGGCTTATTTTTGCTGCAAAAGCCGGGCGCGAGGAGCTGGACCAAGCATCTCCATGGCGCAATGCTCAAAGGTCGGCCAAAATGGTCAAACCTTTTGGGACCAGTTGACTGCCCGGAACAGGGCTCAAACGAACGCAAAAGGTCAAAGGGTCCCTGTATAAGGGCATGGTGTTTCGCTTCTGGGGATGCCCTTTCTGCGACGTCTTGAAACGAAATGGATTGCCCCATTGCCCCATTGCCCCAGTTCGCGCCTGGAAAGAAGGAAATTCCATTCGTAGCTCCCCCCCCGGCCGGCCTTGACCTTGCGCCTGTCCTCTCGGCCTTCGAGCGATCTGAGCGGACCGACTGAAAGGACCCCAACGGAAAGAACCCCAAAAGAAGGGCCTCAGAAAGCGGATTCCTCGAACCAATGCGTGGTTGTTGCTATCACTTCCTGGATGGCCCGAAGACAGCCCGAACTTGTTATTTACCCCCCAAAAAAAACAGTCTTCCCAAAAAGTTTGAAGTCCAGGAACTCAGGTGAGGTCAGGAGGTGAGGGTTTCTTGTTAGGCGTGCATCGTATTTTGAAGTTCCCCGTGCCTGGACGGAATCCACAAGGAACAATGATGGTCCCATGTCAATCTGCAGGACGGGGGGGTACCACCATATTACCTCAAAATCTTGGGTTTGCGGACCTAAAACAAAATAGATACAACTCACAGCGGGGTCACAAATCCCAGGGTGAAGTTGCCATTTGCCCAGATCGATCCCCTGGTGCTTTCCTTCTGGGGAATTGAACATGCGAGCTGTCTCTGCTATTTGCAAATCAAAATGAGAAGCAACATCAATACGACTAGCATCCTGCATGTCGTGTTTTTTTTTGAACGACTGGCGAGACGGCTGCCCAGATCGTCGGCTGCTCTTCGGCGTCCCGCCGAAGGACGGCTCTGCACATCATGATCGCGGATCGCTGCACATCACGCCCGATGTCCAGCGAGTTTTACTGCCCAAAGCTGAGCGAGCTCGGCTCCGGTCGGTACTAGGCTCAGCCTCTCTGCGACTGGATGCCAGTCACAATCTCAAGTCTCCAGTTTTGAAAAACAAACCCAGCGGTACACGTCGACTCCAATTGGCATAACATGGCCTCCGATGAACTCCTGTGCCTTGCAAATCCCATAGCTGAAAAACCAACTCCAAAGGACGACTTGCGTTCCAATACGAGAGACTTGTCGGCCTTGGTTGGGCCCATTGCCAGGAGACATGATCACAAAAGGCATCTGTCAGTCGAGAAGTCTCCGCTTGGAAATGCCGATTGCCAGAACCATGACGCATGGCAAGTGCTCGTGTTCTGGGGTTTCCCAGGCCCTGTGAAGGCTAGAACAGAAGATGGACCCAGATTCCAATCATTCCCTAAGCTTTCCAAACGACGGCCCCACCCCAACACCCGAGCTCTGCAGCGCTGCCAGGCGGCGTGGGCTCGTCAGAAGGCACGGGTGCTGCAAGGCTCGGCCTTCCGGGTGCCTGACGCAAGTCGAACCGGTGCGTTTTCTGAGTGGCCCTGTTCCCTTAAGAGCCCCCTATTTGGACACATGCCATCCAGGTACCCTCCGAGAAAAATAGTACCGTTCGTGTGGCAATTCAAAGTGAGAGACAACCCTCAATGGACAGAATCGGACCCGGGTGTCGACAAGGCGTGGGCAATTGAACCTGTCAACACCACATGTATGCAAGTTTCTGTCTTTGATTTGCTTCTGAGAGGATGCCATGGAGTTGATGTCAGGTAGAAGAGAAAACCAGCACATGAAAGCTTCCCAATGGACGAGGGAACTGGAACTGGGAGAGCAGAAGCCAATTCTGTAATTTCGGCGACTACATTGATGATCTCATATTCTTCTCCTACTGTGAATGGACGAAATCCTGCACCACTTCGAAACCATGGGAAACCCATTGTTTGTTGGTTGTTCCAGGGGAATCATCGTTTCAGGGTTTCTTAGTGCCTAAGAGGATTTCGTCCATCCACAGTACGGTGCCTTGGTTTTTGAAATCTCAGCGCGCAGCGCCTGGGCAGCGGTGGCGGCGCAGAGCGCGGTCCGGCGATTTCGGGCAGGTCACCTGGCGATCGATCGGGGAGTTGGAAGAGGGGCTTCCCCCAGTCCATTGACCAATAGCTAAGCACAAAAAAATGTGGACGCATTCATCATATGTTTTGTATATGTAGAGATATCTCTCTCTGTCTGTGTCCTTCTCTCTCTCTCTCTCTCGCTCGCTGTTTCATCAAACCAACACACTGCGTGCCGTCTTTTGCACGGGCCATCCTCGAAGCTGCTCAGAACTTTTCGGCGGATCCGACAGCTTCAATCACGTTGCCCTTGAGGCCTTGCAAATGTAATTGGCAACTGCGCTGCCAAGAGCTCCGCGGAGCAGCTTGGAGATTGGAGGGCGCCAACTGAGGCAAACGTAGCTGTCCAAAGCACGCACATGCCAGGATAGGCAGGAGTCCTTCGGCATGGGTGCGGGCCTCAGAAGCCACTGTGCCCAACTCCAGTCAATCGGCCCAAAATCTGCCCCGACCTCTGCTAAAAGCCTCGCATTGAAAGCTCTCGAATAGTCTCGGAGCGCGTTCGGAGCTGGGCCCATTGGCACGGACGCGCACCTTTCACGGCAGGAGTTTGCGGTGCAGACGCAGCCCTTTCGCAGGGTCAGGTTCGCAAGGTCAGGTGCGGAATTCGTGGCAGGCGCAGCGCTTTCGGAAGACGGATGAATGGAAAACTAGATAGGTAGATAGGCAGGCAGGCGGAGGCAGGCAGGCAGGGGCCAGCCAGCCAGGCAGACAGACAGACAGACAGATAGATAGATATCGAGTAGATAGACAAGATAGACAAGATAGACAACAGAAAAAGAAAGAAATCAAGTAAGTAAGAAAGAATGAAAAAAGAAAGGAAGGAAGGAAGGAAGGAAAGAAGGGAAGGAAGAGAGAAAGAAAGAGAGAAAGAAAGAAGGATGAAAGAAAGAAAGAAAGAAAGAAAGAAAGAAAGAAAGAAAGAAAGAAAGAAAGAAAGAAAGAAAGACAGACAGACAGACCGACAGACAGGCAGAGAGAGAGAGAGAGTTTTAAATATGGCAAAAGCCCACTCACTGATTGCCCAAGAGGTCTGGACAGCCGAGACTCTGTTCTCGGTTGGGTCTCGGAATGTGTGAACACGTGATTATCTTCAGTCCCAACTCCCACCCGGGCAAAAAGAAGAAGCACCCATCAAGCTCGTAGTTGCAGAGCTCATGCGCCCTCAATCCTGATGGGAGCCTAGGGAATCCGGCAATTCCTTCTGGGCCAGTGGGCACCGTGGGGGATTCCGCTTAGAAACATAGCCCTGACAAACATCTGGCCATGGGTCAAAATCCCGTACCTCCGGTGAACATCCGATTCAATCCCCACTAAACTAGACTAACATGGGTGGTGCACCTACCCCAACATGGTAGCAAAACGGTTTTGACCCACGGCCACATCTGTGCAGTGGAAACCTGATCTCGCCCATCTCGCCTGGCTCGTACAGCTCCTCCTCAGATCGCTTCACCGGGCCTCGGTAGCTTTGAGCCTTTGATGGCCTTTTTGGGTGTGTCTCCTTTTCAGGGTACCGTTCTTGGAGTGGTCTGGAGAATTATTTGTACTTGATTTATTATCATGATCAGTATTCTGAGTAGTAGTAGTAGTAGTAGTAGTAGTAGTAGTAGTAGTAGTAGTAGTAGTAGTAGTAGTAGTAGTAGTAGTAGTAGTAGTAGTAGTAGTGGTAGCAGAGCAGTGGTGGAGGTGATATTTTGACACATGGGTGTGGCTCAAAATTAAACAGGAGGGGTTACGCAGGTTTTGGTCCATGTTTCCACTTACCAGGGTTCCATTTTGGCACCGGTTTTTTGAGCCACAGCCACATACCTGCTTTGCAAACCACCAATGGTTCTGAGGCGGTGGGTTCACTTGTTTCTCACAACGGTTTGTCTCCCCTTTCAGTTTGCCTGGCCAACCCCAAAATGGGCAAGAAGGACGCGCCCAAATGACGAAACTGTGAAGCGAACCCCGCGGTGTCCAAAAAAACAACAACCCTCACAGAGCCCAAAAAAACAGAAGACCAAACCAGAAAGAGCCCAACTCCGCAACCAAAACCAACGAGCCACATCCCGACCGCCGAAAACCGCCAGCGATGGCTCTAGGCTCTCGAGGCCCCGGGCAGCTGACGACGGCGCCAAAGACGGGCCGCTCGTCATCGGAGTCCACCACGTCAATGAAGGTGTTCTTCACCTCGGAGACGAAAAAACACAGCAAAAAAAGGAGAGGAGAAAAAACCGAGTGGCCACCGGGTACATGGGGTGGGGAAAAAGATAGAAAACACGGTTCCCCCGGTAGAGGTTCAATATATTTCTGGCTGGGTGGGGGAGAAACCTAACTGGGAAACCTAGAAAGGTGTGGCCTCTGGGTTGGGCTGAAAGAAACCAAGTTCTCCCAAGGACGCCATGGGCCAAAAGGCCCGTGCTGTGGAGGGTATACTGTTTGGGGCGGTTTTAAAGGGACAAGGAACACCGATATCCGGGTCTGCCTATGTTGACACACCAATTTGCCCGGATGTAACTATGGAAACTTGGTCGATTGCTCTGGGCAAATCTAACGAGCTCACCCGGGAGTAAGGCGAGCTAGCGGGTGGCTTTCGGAGTTTCAAGCCTATTCCAGCTCTAGTTCCTGAAATGCAGAGACCCTGGGCAAACGTCGAAACAACCAATTGCAAATGGGTGTGGGTCAAAAATAGGTACCCCAAATGGAATCCTGGCAAATGGAAACATGGACTCAAACCTGCGGTCCAATTCCTCATGGTTTAATTTTGACCCATCCCCAAATGGCAAGGAGGTGATGCTAAAATTTCGCCTCCGCTCGGCACTGCACGAAATCAGTTGAGTCATGATCCAAACCAGGTACAAAAATGGTGCACCCAGAACCATGTAAAGAACTAAGAAGGCGGAAATCCGCAGCTATTTATGATTGGGATCGTCCCTTACTAACCCCCATCTACCCGGGTTTTGATTGTGGCTCAGTTGCTTCCCATCGGGGCTGAGAAATCAAGCAGAGATGACAAACGGCTGCAAGTTCACGGTGGCTACTCTGCGTCTTAGGTCAACCTCGCCCAATGTTCCCCATACAACCTGATTGGCCAGCAAAAAGTAACCCTGGAAGAGCTGTCAGTTTCCTTTCTCTTTGTCCCATGAAAAGCACCTGGCTTCAGCCGCCGATTCACCCCTTGCACCCTCTGCAATTCGGACCAAGAAACTGGGCGTGCGGTAAGGTTCAACATGCTGGTTTAGTGCCAACCGCGGCTCTGAGCAAATGTACAATCGCGACTTCAACCATGAAGAACACAACTCAGCTTCCCCCTGGGTTGGAGCCGAGTGGTTTGGTGGTTCAGGGTGGAAACCCCCAGCTACCCACAAGATCCAGGGCTTCAAATGGCTGTGGTACCCCAAATGGCTTGCCCTGGTAAAGGGAAAGAAGGACGATTTAACCTGCGGTCCGATTCCTGGTGGTTTAATTTTGACCCATCCCCATTTGATCATTCCCAAGTCGCACTGGCAAGGCTGAATGTTTGCAACATATGGCAGCGGCTCAAAAAGTAGTACCAAAATCGTTCCCAGATCCCCAAACCACCGAAGGGCCACCATCGCGCGTGACCCGCGTGTCGCGTTCGCATCGCTCCCGCCTTGAGCTTCCCTAGCTGTCTGCGTGCGGCCTCGAGGAAACCTCAGGTGCCAGTTTTTTGGGCTCCGTGGCCGAAAAAGCCAGAGGTATAATTACCCAAATCCCAAAGACTCACACAGGAATCTTGGTTCGGGAAGCGGCGTATGTTAAGTATGAGGGGGAAACTGCCAACTCCACTTGCAACGCTAGAGCAGCGCCTCATTTTGTTGGGCATTGTTTACCCGAGGAAGGGCCTTTTCAAGAGGATGGTCGTCTTCCAAAGCCATCCCGTCCATAGTTGTTAAACCAAAAATTCCGGCATCGGCCGGAGGATTCGTGACCGAACCTCTAGCCCACGGGTGTCCAATGCCTTCGTCTTGCAGAGAGGCAACGTCTTTTGCCCCTCCACAAGCAAAACGAACAGTCTTGAGAACCACGCCATATCTGCCCTTCTTGCTTTTGCTACTAAAACCTACCTTTTTTCTAGCCAAAGAAGAAATGGTACCCGCATTCTGGGGCTAAGCTCGTGCTCGCCCGTTTTTGAGCATGAGTAGAGCATCAAAAACTATTCCATGGCCCTGCAGCTTTTCCCAAATACCGATTTTCTTGTCGACCCCGTGTACCAGCTGGCAGATGGTCAAACTCCCGGACTGCCACGGTGTGTGCGTGTGTGTGCACCGTTCCACTTGGCAATTGGAAAATGGGTGGGGCGCTGAACAACCGAGTCATGCACACCTAGGTCCTCCAGTAGAGAGGTTTTGTCAATCTTCATTTTCAACAAGCAAATGAATTTGTGTTAATTTCACCTAAGGGGTTTCTAAGGTTTTTCTAAAAATTCTGAACATGTTTATACAGTTTTTCATTTAATAACAGGCTAGGGTTTTGACATTTTCAACCTTCAGGTCTCAGACATGTTTTAGGCTTTCTGGGGTATACAAGTGTTTAATCATATTCTAATTAACCGATCATATTACTTATGGTTTCCAATTGCTAAAAAAGCACAAAAACCAACGTTTTCAACAATCTCTTTCCACCACTGTTCTATTCTTCTTGGCCAACCTAATACTGTTTCTCTATTATATCAATATCTTTGTTTCGTTTCTTATGCTTCTCATAATTACATCGAATGACTGCTTGAAGAATTAGAAAGTGTGTTCTTCTAAAAAAGAATTTCATATCCCCAAGACTTTACAACCTGTAATTCTTATATTGTTTAACTCTGCTCCATGTTCTGTTACTTTTCCTTCATCGTATAGTTCATGTGGGTGTTCATTAACACATCACGATGATAATATTTTATGAATGGGTTTTCAGGATAACCTAATTTGTTCATTGAATTCAACACAACGTTCATTTCTTCATAAGATGGATACGGATTTAACCTAATGAACCTTTTAACTTCATCACTTTCTTTTTGTCTTTTCTCAATCAACTTAGCTATTTTTTCTGCGCTTAATACTGTCATACCTTCCAATACTTCTATTATATTAAGGTCTCAGTTCTTTAAGTACTTTGGAAACTCAATAAGATTTCAATGATTAACTCACTCGGGATTCTTTACAAGGCTTCCTGTTTATGTTTCATATAATTATCACCCCACTTTTCCTTAGTGCCTGATGGCAAACGTTGTGCTGTTTCAATATGTGTATTATCAAGTACTTTACCACGGTCTTTTTTTGCATAATGGTCTAGGGTTCCAATTGTTTAGGTTGCTCCATAACCTATAAATCCATACTTACAATAGTCAATGTCATTAAACCTTAAACCATTCATAAAAGACTGCTTTATCAATCATCCGGCTTGCTGATTTTCAATTACATTTTTAGGATTGAAAAATTTGATGATTTCAATAGTTTTTAATTCTGTACTATTGGCATATTCAATGTTTCTTATTCCTGTAGTTTTCGCTCTACTGTATTCAGTGCAAGGTGGTGATGCCCAAATAAAGTCAAAAAGACTGTCAAACTGCTTATAGTCCCATTTCAATATATCTTCACTGATGTCAGCATGTCTCAAATTCCAAAGGTACAACGTTAAAACCAAGCGACTTAGCTATATGTCCAACTGAGCCTGTGCCAGAAAATAACTCTAATAAATTCATTTATTACAGTTATTTAGATTTTAAGTTATACAATCTCATATGTTCCTTCTTCATTCTTAAACAGTTTATAATGTTCAATAGTTTCTTGCTTCGGTCTTTTTGTTTTGTTCTTATTCAACATATCCATATTGTTTATGTGTATATTCATATGACCCAGATGGACGTCCTGTCGGTTTTTCTTAAAGATTTCATCCATGTCTATTTTCATTAGGTTTAACTTTCAACTTCTCATCAATAGTTTTAACTAAACCGGTAAGTGATTTAATGTTCTTACTAACAATGGTAATCCTTTTCATTAAGTCATTGGTGCTATAACTTTCCTGTTCAGACATATACATAACTATGTACGTATTTACTTTGTTAATTAACTATGCGTTTGAAGTGCTGTTAAATCTACTCTGTATATATTATTCTTTCATCATTTCTCTTATGGTTTCCTGTGTTTCGTTTTGCCCGTCATCTGATGGAGTCCCAAAGCGTATCGCCATATTATGTGCATCTGTTTCTAAATTTACATCACCGTCTTTGGTTTTATAAATATTCATGTTTTATCAGTTTTACTTGCTTTAAAACCGATGGGCGCACAAGAACATTTACAATTTCCTTTCCTTTTGTACTTCTAACTCAATTTTTGAGTTCCTTTTACACATTGGACAAGGAACTCAATAACTGCTGACTGACTAATAGCTTCTTCACTGTCTTCATCTGTTGAAGAAACACTTAACCCTGTCTTATTCTTTTGTTTTTCTTTCTTCCCATTTATATTAATATTTGCATTTTTTTGATATATTGAATTCCTGACTTAACTAATTTAATGAATAATAACAACATTCTTTTAATTTTATTATCGGTTATTACAACTTGCTCTACTTTCTCTACTTCATCTATATCAATATACGCTGAATAACTTCTATTCATATACATAATAATAAGATAAATTATTATAATTAATCTTGTTATTAGAATACTCGGGGTTCGCCATCGTTTTCTAATCTGGGGTTGGGTTCTTCACTGCTCACATAAGCGGGACTCAAACTAATATTATCTTCAATGCTTGTGATTGAAGTAATGGACATCTGTTGCATGTATGATACCCCTATATCATAAACGATAGTTCAATATTAATTATAGATATTATTTTATAAGTATTTACAATATTACGTTATTATGCCTGATGTAAAACCAATTGATGAAATCAAATATGACTTTAAACGTCCTTAAATTGCCAATGAGAGCGATGATTGTAGGCCCGTCTGGAAGTGGAAAATCAACTTTACTTGTATCAATGATACTTGAAATTTACAGAGGAGCAGTTGAAAGAATATTTATCTGGTCGCCATCAGTAAATTTGGATAGCATTTGGTTGCCTATTAAAAATACATTAAAGAGGGTTCAAAAGTTGATACTGACAAAGAACCGTGTTGGTGGGATGAGTTCAATGTTGAAGATTTAGAGTTATAGAAACTCAAAATAAAAT